ACGTTTTTCGAGGCAATTTCGAACCGAGAGTACATTAATCTTGGAGAATTAAGGATGATCAATAGTAGACTAAGAAAAGTTAATGGAGGGATTAGGGGTAAGTGAGTTAAATTAAGTTCAATTAAGAGCGCTAATTGCTCACTAATCGATTGTTGACTTTTGGGGCCAAGAACACCTTTATGTCATTCTTCTTGTCACTCAATCAAATCATCTAACTACCACCCAAAACCTTTCTTCCTCCTCTCTCCCTTGACCGACTCCCCCTCCCTCATTTCCCCACAAAATTTTAGCTCTCTTGTCTTCCATTTTCCTCCAAGAAAACTCTTCAAATTTGCTTCTTTCTTTGGTTCTTCATACAAGCTTGGAAGGTGACTTGATCAAGGAAGAAACTTTGGTGATTCAAGAGCTTATACTAGTGATTGTTTTTCATTCTTGGAAGCAAAGGTAATCCTCCAAGTTCTCATCTTTTTCCTCTCAACTTATAGTAGTAAGTTAGTTTAGCTAGTTAGTTGTTGGGTTGTTGATGGGTTCACTAGAACCTTGACATTAGGTAGAGGACTTGAGGTGACTTTATAGGTAGAGGCCTTGAGGATTTTGTATGTTTACTTTCTTGTTTGATGCTTATTTTGAGAAGATATGGCTTAGTTTTAGCTGGAAAGTTGGAAAAGAAAACTAGAAGATGAAAGATGTTTGCTGTCCGAATTTTGGCTTGTTGAAACCCTCATGTTAATTTCAAATTTTGATGTTATTTTGGTGCTACAATGTTTTTTATATGATGGTGTTTATGTGTGTTAAATATCTCCCAAAAAGCTTTACAATTGGTTGAGTTAAAAAAGGGTTTAAGTGAGGAAGAAATCTGGAAAATTTTCTGACCAGGAGCACTAACCGGTGTTCACATTTTGGGTCATAACTTTTTGTCTGGGAGTTGAAATCGAATGCCGTTTATGGCATCCAAAACTAGATTCTGAGAGATTTCCGTCGGTATAAAATTCACCTCCTAATTCATTTCCTATGAGCCGTAGTGAACCGGCAAAGATGACTAAATTTCCTCACTGTTTTCATCCGAGAAACAGTCTTAACTGTAGTTTGTATCTCAATTTCGCCCATCTTACAAAAATGAATTTTAAGACAGTTCCTTCTAGTGATTTGTAGAATTTTGAATATAGTTTTCAATGCCATAAACCACACTAAATTTTGAGTTGTGTAGCTTTAGTTATGACCAGATTTTGAAACTCTGTTAAGCCTTCAAAACTGGAAATTTCGTGCAACAGGTTCCAAAATTCAGTTTTCTTAAAACTGTTGTATCTTGGTGTAGAAAAGTCCAAATTGAGTTTCGTTGGTTGCATTTGAAACTAGATGTGAATTCCTATTAGTGGTATAAATTTCAAGGGCTGATTCAATTTCTACAAATTTAGCCGAATTTCCAAATATTGCTGAAATTACAAGCCTGTTTTGCTCTATCCTGTCTGGAACAGTGACTGTTACTAAAATTTGAATGATTTCGAACTGGAGTTTGAAAAAGTGTCTTCTATAGAGTTTTAGTGCATTGAGTCTAGTTTCCAACGGTATAAAGTTTTCAATTTTTGGACTTACAGAACTCGAGATACGATTTTTCCAAATAGTGTCGCACCAAACTGGAAATTTTCTGGTTTCAACCAAAGTACACTTTTAAACACTTTCAACCTCCCTTTGAGATTGTAGTCCGTTTTAGGTTTAATTTCATAGTTGGACACAAGGTCACTTTTGAACTTTAAACCTTCATTTTTAATCTTGGTTTCCAAAGGATTAAACCTCTCTTGATGCATTTTCTTGGTTGTTCCTTGGTTAATGGCACCCCTATTCTTATGCTCTCGATTCCCATGAGTTTGAACTTCATAAAGAGAGCGTTTTAACTAGAACAATTCTTGGAGAATTTCACTAGTTTTATACTCGAAACTTGGAACCTTTAACCTTGACATTTAAATTGAAAATGAGTGGAGTTTCGAATGAGTTTTGACTCCATTAGTTTGGAAAACGTAAATGCTCTTTATATTCCAAAGTTTGGACATGAGATTTGAAGTTTGAGAGATGGAAACCATCTACCCTTTTTCCTCGATTTTGGTGCCGAAAGTGAAAATAGTACTTTCTTTTGGAATTAAGATTACTTACCACGACTTTAATAAAAAATGACCTTTGAGCTCTCTTTGAGCATTATTTCTATGATTTGGCGAGAAAAGTTTCATTAACTTGACTCGAACTTGTGACCTTGAGAGTGGGTAGCGAGAAAATGTCTTTCTTATTAACCTTGGTCGAGTACCTAGGTAATCATGTTTATGCATGTCTTAGGTGGTCATGAGGACGTCGAAGAGCTCGTCTGACTTCTCGCTTTGCTCTTGTTTTGCCTTGACTTTTGGTGAGTGTCAAGCGCATGTTCAATGCTAATGTGATTAAATTGATATTTGTACAAGTGATATATGATACGTGAACTTGCCGAGGCGAGACTGTAATTTATCGCCCTCGTCCTCTCTTTGTTGTGATTGAATGATACTTGTTAAATGAATATATGACTTGCACTTGTACTTGACATGTTTTAACTTGTGAGCACTGAGTGGCTAGATGTATCACGCCCTATTTGGGGTGGGAGGTACCGCTCATCTCGACTCAGTGCTATGATCGATTCTAAGTCGATTGGAGTGTTGTCTCATCGACCACTTATACTTGTGGGGACGCCCCAACCTATTGGCTTAACCTCGTAACTCGAGCCGGCAAGGGCTTGTTCGAGAAGCTTGGTGAACCATAGGAAATTTTATAGTTTGATCTTTTGAGATCTTGCTTGGCATACTCGAATAGTATCGGCACTTCATACATGTTTGGTTTCGGATCCGAGTGTGTGTTATGTTGGATGGAGGAAGTAAGTGGAACACTATGGTCGTGTTACTACTTGGGTTGACGGAGGGTCAACCCCAGATGTCTCAACTTGATTGAGATGTGGAAATAACTCCTGAGAGCTCCTGTATCCTCCTTGTGTGTTTATTTCCTACTTGTGCACTTGAATGAAATGTCATGTTTAAAAGTTGCTTTCAAGCATGTTACTTGATTTATTGGGTTACTTGTTTGCGTGTTTGTTTTCTTGGCCTCACTGAGCGTTCGCTCATTCCTTTAAATTTGTTTTCCTTAACAGGCTTTGGAGGTGGATTGGAGGTTCTAGACTAGCGACTTGGTAGATGCTAGTATACCTTTTGTATGAACTTTTGATGGCTCTTTAAGTATAATTTTGTTATTGTTGGTTGGTGGATTGTAATTGTAACTTTTAGTTTAGAATTGTGGCTTGTGCGTTCGAAGTACTTCTGAATGAAGTTGATGGTTGTTTTGTGACTCTATATTAAACTTGAACGAGTACGTGAGTCCCGACAAGAGTTGAGCATGCGTCCCACTGATACCCTAAGGTTCGCCCTAGGGAGTGGTGGGGGCGTCACACTTCTATTACTCCTCCAGCTAGTAATTCTTTCTTTTGAATATCAAATTCTCCTATATCCTTTTTCATATAAATTATAGATTTTACTCTAATTAGTATTTGTTCATCTTTTAATTTAAGATGACAAATCCTAGGAGCTTTTTCCCATAAATGAAAAGGATTATTAAATAAATTGGGTTCTAATGTTCTATAGACTCAATGTGATTTATCTAATTTATTTATACTTTCTTCTAATTCTTGTAAAACTGGACTATACTCACCATGCTTGACTAGTGCAAATTGTCTATGATAAATAAATTCATGTTACTATAGCCATTCATATATTGAGTGAAGAAAATTATTTTTCAATAAAATATCACCATTTATATAAAGAGAACATATTAATTTGTGTATTTTAAAATTTTTTACCTCTTATTGTCACGACTGCAAAAGGTTTATCTTTAACTTTTTCTTTCATTGTAGATGAGGAATTACTAGCATTTTTTTGCTATTAATTGGACTTCTCTTTTTAGCCAAAATTGCGTAGCAAGTGCCATAGGTTGGCATACCATAGCTGCCCTCATAGCAACCAAAGCATTGAGAATATATGGTTTATAGTCTCGGAATTCGAATGTTATTTTAATGTAACTTTCATTAACTTTTATTTTTGTTGTAAGAGAAAAATATTATTTTTGAATCTATATTCATTTGTTCAAATTGTATTTGTTGTTCTTATCCTCGTAGTATAGGGATTTGTACGGTAGACATCTCTGTATTTCAATAGATTGCCTTATTCTATTAGTTCTAGAAAATATTTTTCTTGAACTTTCTACCGATTCATAGTCATATTTGAATGTCTTTTTTCTGGCACAAAAAAAAAATCTTCCCAACTTACTAATCTTGGTTGGATACCTTAAGCGTATTTCGGATTAGACAAAGAATAATTTTTAATGTATAACTTGAATAAAAGGGCCCGGACCAGACTATAAATATAATAAACTAAACAACCAAATGGAAATCCTTGTCAAACTAATCCTAAAGGTCTGAACATTTTAGGAAAGCATTTATTATTTCAAGAAATTACTTGAAACTTCATTGCAAAGCGTCCAATTTAACCAAAAATAAAAAATAAAAACTGAAATAGACTGATTGGGGCCTGAGATGGGGGCGCCGTCACGCGTCACCAGTCCAAAATAGTGAGACAGATTGCAGAGAAAATAAACCCCTTCCGTACTATCCCCAATGCGCACGTGTACGAGTAGTCCAACAAACTTGTGGTCCACCCAAGTCCAGGCAGCCAGTAACGACCCTTACAGGCGCTACCCACCAATCACAATTCGACAACGCTTTTGACGAAACCACTCTGGTTTTTCAATACCACACATCTGAAACAGTGCCAGTATATCTATTTTAATCATTTCTTTTTTTTTTTTATTTTTGGCATCTGTTTCAAAGTTTCAGCACTTCCCAAGACAAACACGCACTCGAGACCAAAACAGCATATGGTCACATATTTGGTAAACATTTCAATTCAGCTGCTTCTTACCGCATTTGCTCTCTCCCCTTTTTCTCAGTCGAATCTATATATATATATATTCTTGAAACACATACTTGTCCATCATTCATTTGCTTCACAACTCACAAACTTGTCTTTTTTCATTTTGCACGAAAAGTTTAGAGACATGATTATTGGTATATAGCGAGAATATTAATCGGTTTAATTTGGATTTTCATCTTTTGATTTAACAGCACGAGAGAAAGAAGAAGAATGGGGAGAGGACGGGTACAGCTGAAGAGAATCGAGAACAAGATTAACAGACAAGTGACTTTCTCCAAAAGGCGATCTGGGCTGCTCAAGAAAGCTCATGAGATCTCCGTGCTTTGCGATGCTGAGGTTGCTTTGATTGTGTTCTCTACCAAAGGGAAGCTCTTTGAGTATGCTACTGATTCATGGTATGTATGATAATCCTCTCTTGTCTCTGTTATTGGGATGTACGTAGTGATTGGTTTTCATGGATCATGATCTGTTTGGAAGATTCTTTGCCGCTAAAGATTTTCATACAACCCTAACTTAACTGATAAATTTGCATTAGCATCATGTGCTCATTAGATCCAATCAACCGCATCTTCCGCACTCGCTTTTATTGGTCTTTTCTTGATTTTAGATTTCATGATGACCTCTGTAGAAAGATACAATGAAGTGGCTAGTTTCTGTTTGGTCTTGAGCATTAGTCAAACTTGTATTACTATACATCCACTAAGTTCCTCAAGATCTTTCTTTTTTTTACCCCTTCCCATATCTGATGCTTTTTTCCTTAAAAGGCATGTTTTGTCAAAATTCATGCAGGAACTGTGGTTTTTATTTTTATCTTTTTTAAAACTTCTCTCCGGTATATCCGCAACCCCATTTTTCCCGTTCTCTACTGTTTGTTTTCTGTTCAAAATGTGGGCCCTACGATTCAGAAAAGTTAGTAGATTGCATGATTTTTCTATATCAAGCTCGAAAGTTGATCTGGGTTGGAACAGAAACAGTGAGAAAACGGGTAAAAGGAGCTTCTTCATGTCCACTTCAGAATTAGGTACTATTTTTAAGCCTCCAGATACTTTGTCTACCTGGAGAAGAAAATGTTTAAAGAAAATTAGTGTATACAAATTAGCTGGTTACATTCCCCAACCCCACCCAGCCCTCCACGCCCCCCCCCCCCCCCCCCCGGGCCCCAAAAAAAAAGGCTTTTTTCAATACATATTTTAGTAATATAAAATAATTTCAGCTATCCTTTCTACTTACTGAACTTTTGAGAGGCTGCTATTTTCTACTAGGAGGAATAAAGTACTGTTCTATTGCCTTCATTTCCTACTAGTTTTCAGTAAGTGACTAACTATATATTGCATGGTTATTATTTTTGGACATGCAGTATGATACTTTTATGGTACAACATGCAATATATGTAATTAAGAAATCCCTTGCGTATGTTAGCGTACAGTAGTTATGCATAGTGCTAATACACGCACAAGCATCGAATATCTATATTTATATACTATATATAAAGGGAAAGAGGAGGGATTAGTCTAAATTTTTTGTGAAATTTTTTATAATTTCTATTTTACCCTTTAAATAAAGGGTAAAAATAGTATGGTCATCTCCCTAAAATAAACACACAAATATACACACCTCTATTTTTCTTGCCTAACAAATAAAGGGTAAAAATAGTACGGTCATCTCCCTAAAATAAACAACAAATATACACACCTCTATTTTTCTTGCCTAACATAACTTTCAATAAAGCAATAGCTATCAACAACTTTTTGTCTAAAAAAAAGAAAAAATATAAACACAATTCTTCTATCCATATTTCTACAAAAAAATAAAACTTCCAACAACTCCTAAAAAATTTAATAATTTTTCTTTTAAAAAATTTTCCTTCTAGATTTCCATACACACATAGGTGTGCCATTTCCACTATTATTAAGGCACAAACCCCAAAGTTGGAGGAAATTCTCTTCCTCTTCCATTCTTTATCAGATCAAATCAAATTGCACAAATTGTTGCCGACACATTATCATGTTAAAGTTTTGGATGAAAAAGGCACAAATTTTCGTTTAGCATATCATATCAGCACTTAGATAAAACTAGTTTAAAAAAAATTAGCAGAAAAAAGGCAAGGTCTAAGGTCTAATGTGATATATCCTGATTCATTATTGTTGTCTTCTTTTTCCTTGTATACACAGTAAACCTTACAAGGCTAATCAGATTATATGTGTCATGAAATTTTTAGTTACTAAGAAACTGAACAGTCTAATTCAGAATTTTTACATCGATAATTATGAACTTTTTCAGCTTTGAAAAGTACTAATTTCTTGTAACTTTATGACGAGCGTACTATTGTTCTTGTAGTTCACAAAGAATAACTTAATTAACTAGATTAAAATGACATGTTAGTCAAAAAAGGAGTGTAATAGTCCATCAACACTTTTGTGTGGCATCTACGGAACAAAGAAATACTAACAATGTTCGCATATTAAAATTTGAGTACTGTTTAGTGGCTTGCTTATTATCTTACGTGCCAGGCAGTCAGGCACGAGTAGTAGATTAACTTTACATCTCGCAGTAAGATACATCTTTATTGGCACTAACTGAGAGTCTTTCCCATCTGGCTAGTTCTTTTTGGTTTTTGTTCCCTCTGAGTAAAAGCTAGGTGAGCTAAACATTTAAAAGAGAAGCAAACTTATTCTATTTTGCTTTTTCATTTTAATGAAGTAAAAGCGACATTTATAACCTTATTTCATTTTCTCAGACCATTTTAAGGTGAAATCTGCACTAGTTGATTTGAGCAAACTAATTCATCTTTAAGCTCTTCACATCATATACCACCTCTCAATACTTATTCCTTTTCCATCAATTTCTTGCTAGTGGTTGTACTTGGGCGTTTCTCAAATGCACCTTACCGTGTTCGAATAAATTTCTAGGCATATCTTGTTATCAGTATGGGAATATGAGATACTTGTGACTTTTTCCTGCTATAGATTCATCTTGGATGTAACAGTGAATGGCATTATACTACGGCAAAGAGATTTGAATGTGCAATTGATCATCACTAGACCTGGCAATTTTGATCAAAACCTAACAACCCACCCGACCCACCCACTAATTTGAGAGGTTGGGTTGGGTAAGTTAGGTATTGGGTCAATTTTGGGTTAGGTAATAAAAATCCACATATATTTTGGACGGTTTGAGTATTTGTGTTAGACACCCATTACCCAACTTAAGGTAAAAAAACAAATAAACAAATTAAAATCAAGAAACAAGAAAAGACTAGCGACTATGTAATGAAGCCAAATGTTGGATCAAGCAAAACATCCCCTGGCCAAAGTTTTATTTGGCAGGCTTGTCCAAGTCTTATCTATAGTTGCTTCCTATTCCGTGGCTTGAGCTCTTCTATAATATATACATATTAGCATAGTAGTATTTGCAATTTGTGAATTGTTGCGAAGTAATAATTGCAGACATCATATTATATCATACTAGAAATTGGATTTTTTTTTTTTTTTTTTTACATTCTTTCAGGCGTACTGCTCTAATCATTATGGTGATATCCTAATGTGCATCCTAAACTATATTGAAGCTAGATATGATCAACTAAAAATCCCTGCAAATTGTTGTTGTATCCAACTTGGACCAAAAATTATTGCTTCGGTCTCTTAGTTTGGACCAAAGCTATACCCAGTTTGAAAATCCTTACTTGTATAAAAAATAATGAGTTCATCCAAGTAATAGTGTGTATTTTAGTGTATTTGTATGTGTAAAAATAACGTATTCCAAAATAGCTTAAGAAGTGGGTGTGTATTTGTATTTGTGAGTGTTTTAGTGTGTGAAAATATGTCTATTTATGTGAAAATGTGTTTATATGTGTGAAAATTTTTTTTTTGTATGTAAAAATGTATTTGAGAGAATTTACGTATCAAAATCTATTAATTAATATATTGGGTCATATTTGGGTCATGGGTTTGAAATAACTCAATATGACTCAATCCAAAATTAACCCAATTTAAAGTTAGACAGGTTGGATGTAACCCATTTAAATGAAAACCCAATACAATCTGCCCAAAACTCGCTCAATTGCCAGGTATAATCATCACTGGCAAACATACAGCAATATCTTTCTATATTTATACTTAAGACACTTGCGGAGTCCAAGAAAACTAGGTGGCTTCTCACACCATACACTTCCATAAGTCTACGGCTATGTACCTTACAATGTTGTGCTGTGACTTTCCATTTTCAAATGGATACACACACTAATTACATGTCTAGTTTTATAGAATGAAATTTATACGCTCAAGATACAACGGTTTTGTCTAGTTAAGCTGACAAAATGTGCTTGACACCGTCATATCTGCCAATACAACTACAAAGCTTAAACAGATTTATTTTTCATTAATTACTCTTAAGTTATACGCCAATGGTTGTCACATTAGGTAAATCAAGAGTGAATTCTTCATCCAATTTAGCATGTCACTTGATGTGTAGAACTGAAAGTTTTGACAATCTTATTCTTGTTAATTAACAACAGTTATCAATCTAAACAAGAAAATGTCCAAGAATAAAATTAATAAGAGAATATGTCATCCTTTTGAGAGCCTATAAAGCATCTTTTTCCCACATTGTATTTCAAGGCCAAACCAGATATTGTAGTAGATTGTTATGTAGTTTTAAATACTTTTAGCGCATGACATTTGATTAAATTTTGAAACATGCACGTGACAAGAACTTGTACAAATTCATAATATGGATGAAAGAAAAACATGCAACATGAAACCAAGATGAACCTTCTTCATGCTGAATCTTGTTCATTTTAATATGTCAAAGTTAGTTTACACTTTCCCTGTGTGATTGCCACATTGCCAAATGCTGGAAATAAAAGCATTGCCAATAGGTTCTACTGAATGGCCAACGCACTAAAGATATCCACTTCAAAACTAGAAAACAAATTGAAAACTCCTTCTTGGCATATTAGTCAAAATATGTTTGTCCTATGTATGAAGCTCCATCACAATGATGCATCAGCATTGACCACAACAATGCGACAAAACTGAGGAATCCTGAGCATTGGCTTTAATGAAGTTCTAGATTTTTTAGATTATGACGCAAATGTTCCCGAATAAGCAGCTTAAAACTAATGAAAGACCTAATTTTGAGACAGGTTTGTCAATTTGTGTAATTTTTGTACTGATGTCAATTGGTTCTTGTAAGTGGCATACTAAGAGATTGACATATATGTGAATTATGAAGTCTGTTTTGCTAAACTTTGTTCAGGTTTTTACAGTTTTCCTTAAGAAATCGTTCAAAGAGCCATTATCTTTTTAATAAGCAACTTTAAATAGGATGCATCTAGAAACAAAAACATCAAATTGAGTTGTTTAGGATTCTCGTGATTGCTATTAAAACCAACAAGCGTCTCCCTTCAAAGAAAAGTAGCAGCATCTCTTGAGAGACCTATATCCTTTAAAGTGAAAATAAAATCTTCAGCTTGTTAGCTATGTTATTGGACTCAGTACAGGAGTCTCACTGACACGGCTAACTTTAGTGCAAAAGGAGGACTCATACACAAATATAGCAGGGCAAAATGAAGAGTTCGGGTAACCTAATGTGTTACAGAAGTTGTTGGTGTTTGGAGGATTTGTTGTTGTCAGTGTGTTTAAATTTCTTCATCATCTAACAACAGGTCATTCTTATCCAGCTCATTCTCCCTTCCAGCTTGAACCTTGCTATTCTTTCACTGGAAAAAAAAAAGAAACAAAAAATTTAATACAAATGCTGCTAGTCAAATTATTTCATCTCTCATTAGCAGAAATCCAAGAGATAGGCTTTGTCACATGGAGTATAGATGGACATGTCTATCAAAAGTATCTTGGGCATTTCTTCACTTGACATTTTAGTGCTAGACGATCTAGAAAGTGACTGGAACATTTATTTCCTATTGATAGCTTAACAAAATTTTCTTCTCTAACAGCATGGAAAGGATCCTTGAGAGGTATGAAAGGTATTCCTATGCAGAAAGACAGCTTGGGGGTGCAGAAATCGAGTCACAGGTTTACGACTAGTACCCGACTGAAGAAACTTCACACAACAAATGTCTCCCTTAACTAGGTCTTCTTAAGGAGATGGGACTAATGGTCAAAGCACTTAAAACATTTTGTAGGGCTGCTGGAGTCTGGAACATGCAAAACTCAAGGCCAGGATTGAAGTTCTACAAAGAAACCAAAGGTAGAAAAAAAGGAATCGACAAAATTTCCGTTTATTTGAAAGACAATTTTTTCAATGAGAGAAGTTCAAATGCATTATTTTCCTCTTGACATCTGTAGGCACTATATGGGAGAAGACCTTGACAATTTAAGTCTCAGAGAGCTTCAGAATTTGGAACATCAGCTTGATACAGCTCTTAAACACATCAGGTCAAGAAAGGTAAAATAAATAGAAAGTCTTACCGTATCCAAGTTTCTTGTAACGACCATCAAGGAAGTCCATTAAGCTGATCAGAAATTTTCCTTTACTTGCAGAACCAGCTCATGTTTGAATCAATTGCTGAGCTGCAGAAGAAGGTGAGAGCCCTTAAAATGAATATTCTTCCCATGCCTCCAAGAATACTTTTGAGTTAATCACAAATTGATGGTTATTGCGTGGTCCCAAAATTGTTTAAGAAGCAATATGTTTTTCTAAAGTAAAAGGAGCAAATTTGAGAGTCAGTTTGGCCTTTTCAGTCAATATAGTTATCCAAATCGTTGACAATACTTTGTTAACTATCAACACTTGCATTCTTTAGTGTGGCCTGAATGCCTACAAGATATGTAAGTGAACCCTGATTACAAGATGCACATTCACAAGAAAAAGAAATTACAGCGTCAACTGGTTTGTCTTATTTTGTTTAAATTCTTTGTTGTTCCCTTGAGAACTAAACCGCCTGATCAACTTGCAAAACAAAGATTAAAGAAATAAATCGCTCAAGCATTTTGGCTAAATGAAGCGTGAACTAAGTACCTCTGTTAAGATGATTGATGCCTCTTTGAGGATTATGCCTAATATAAAAGGTTGGTGGCACGTCACCTGTGAAACACAACAGCCCAACCTACACTATTGCTTCTACTAAATCTACACAATATAGAGAAGCAAAAATTTTTTACAACACCTAACTAATGCTCAATATAGTAGTAGGAAGAAGAGAAGTAGAAGATAGTTAAGAGATAATAAGCCAAAGTGCATAAGACTTAGTTGCTAGAAGCCTAAATAGATTTGAGAAATTCTATTTATTGGTTGAGAAATTAAGAGTTACAATGTCAACGTTAAGTAGAATAAATTCCTCATCTTTTCGTCTACAATTTAAAAAAGTCTAGGTTGATTATATAATGGTAAAAATCACTAATGAATTCATAAAATCACCCGTATCCTAGGTTACAAAAGTCATAGACATAAATCACATTTTAAATAAGTTAAGTGGAATAAATACCTCATCTTTTCAGCTACAATTTTAAAAGTCTAGGTTGATTTTATAATGGTAAAAATCACTAAATGAATTCATAAAATCACCTGTATCCTGGGTTACAAAAGTCATAGACATAAATCACATTTTAAATACATAAGCTATATTTTGGTTAAATTTGTAGCTGAAAATTTATTAAAAAATATGTAACTTAAAATGTTTGAATTCAAAAAATTAAACATGTGATATTTTTATTAAAATATCCAACATTCTTTATCACTTCTTGTGTTGTGGCAGGACAAGGCACTGCAGGAGCAAAACAACGTGCTTGCAAAAAAGGTGATGATCTTTGTTCCTCTCTTGCAGACATTCCAAAAAAAATGATTTTAATGCTATCAAAACCCATATTAGCTGTTATACTTACCCAAAAAATGCATGCTGCACACAATCATGTACACGCTGAAATAAATTTTGGGAGCCAAAATATAGGTGAAAGAAAAGGAGAAAGAACAAGCCCAACAGCCACAGTGGGAACAACAGAACCGTCACGACCTGAATTCATCATCATTGGTTAGGTCACAACCAATCAACTCCTTGAGCATTAGGTACTTTTTCTGACTCTCCATTTTCTAGAATATATTTAGGAATATCATTCTGATAATAAGAGTGAAATATTAGCCCCAAAAATATTAAGAAGGATTGTTGGACAAAACTTCACTTGAATCGAAATGATAATGTGCTCTTTTTTTAACATATTCGTTGGACGTTAACGAGCTTTTTGGTGGAAAATGAACATCTTAAACATTTAAGTCGAATTGGCCTCTTTTTTATCTTGTCCTGGGCATGTGAATTGGAGAGTCTGCTTGGATTGACTTTTTTTCGCGTTATTTTTGTTTGTGGGATCTATAGTAACAAACCCCAAAAATACACATTCAAATGCACTAAAAATAAAACTAAAAATGAACTTCAAAATTCTTTCTTCTTCCACACACTACTACCATAGCCATCCTTTCCTCTCTCTCTCTCTCTTATTTGTTTTTTAATGTCTCTCTCCTTCCCCTCCTCCCTCTTTTCTCCCTGCTCCTCCCTCCGTCTTTCCTCCCCTCCCTTGCCCTCCCCCTCTTTGGTTGCGCTAGTTCTAACCAGAGATGTGCGACTAGAGAGAAGGAGGGAATGGCAGCCATGACTAGAGATGTGCAACTAGAAATGGGGAGGGAGGGGAGGAGAGAAGAGGAGGAGGGGGAGGTTGGTGGTGGGTAGTGAAAATTTTTAATATTTTTATCACTGCTCCAATAAAATTTTAAATTTTAAAATACTTCAAATATATATATATATGTATATTGAAAAATATCCAATCCAAACAAATCATTCTATACTAGTTGTTTTTCACATATATTGTTACACTAAAGTTTTTGAAAAACATCTAATCTATACCGAGTGAAGTTTTTAAAATAGTTAGCCTTTTTTTAGGTCATCAAAATATAGGAATTATGCAATTACCTTACCAATTATACATTCTTTTATCCTATGTGTCTTGTGGAGACCCTGCATAATTTAAGCGGACAAACAAAATGGCGATGTATAGCCAAGTCAAATCCAAGTAGAAAAAAATAAGGACGTGCTGAGTTAGTATCCACCATTTAGACATGGCCAAACTTGAAAATTTTGTAACAATTTGCGAAGAATATTGTATTATCCAGAAAAGAGAACAATTCTGGTTTTTGAGTGCGTGTTCGTTTGAATTTAAACTTTCTAAACCATATTGTAGTTTCTTGTTGAATGTAGCTAACTGGCTTGAAGAAATTGGCGCAGTATTTAGTTAATCCTCCATCGTATCTGGATTTAGCTTTTGTGATAGAAGTGCTGTTAAGAAGGCTATATATATTAAATGGAATTTCTTTCTGTCAAAAAGGAAAAAAAAAAAAAAAGAATGCCAAACGGGTTATATTTTGCATTAATTTCATCCATTTTACAAGCCCGCATAAGCTTAATTTAGTCGCATGAAATAATGTTGTGAAACCTAATTTGTTTGTCATGTTGAAAAAAAATATTGTCAATGAGTTACTATGCAAAATTTGTGCGAGTCAGTGATTAATTTTCATTCCTGAAAATTACAAAAGTTTGACTATTTTTATTTATTTAAGTAGGGTAGAGATTGGATTTAAGAAATAGGGAGGAAAGGGAGAAGGGAGAAGGGGCAATTAACCCAAGACCTCTATTCCTACACGTTTACTAAGAATTTGTTAAATAGATCATATTTAAAACTTAACAAGGATAAAAAAAATTGGCATAGGATTAGTAGATGTGACTTGTGAGTGAAATTAAACTAGGGTCCTTTCTTGGGTCAAATCTTGTATGTCAATAATTTAAGTATTATGTAATTTAATCTATTGTAACATTCTGAAATCTTCCCTCAATCTAGTTTGGCTAGCGATGTAGTAAGTGCCATAAATTTCGCTTTGTTCTCATTATCGAGTTTTTGGAGAAAAACAATCATGTACTAAAACATTGCATATTAGGTTCAAAGGAATATTCACGTTGGAGAAATTATTCACGTTTTCAAAGATTAATTTAGTTTTAATGGTCAAAAGGAATATTCTTTACCTGAAGCTTGCATAGGTTCATCTGACATAATTTATAAGACTTTCAAGTCCTCCTTAAAGAATAAAGTTGTATACAAAACATCCAAGTATTTGTAAGGTATCAAAATTATAAACTCATATATGTGTGTGTATATATATAAGGTTTCAAAATGTAAGGGTTTTTTGGCTAAACAAAAAACTACGCATTGGATTGTAAAATGTTTGATAACTTATCTTGAAATGAGATGTTATTTTAACTTTGGATATGTAGTACAAATTCTTGATATAGTGCAAAACCTCTTTAAATACTTTGGGGGCAAGAGTGGAGCAATTCACGAAATCAACAATTTTTTAAGGACATTTTGGAAAATTTCGAGATATTCACGTGGTGAATATAGCTTCATGAGCGTGTAGGGCCGACTCATATTGGCAAATTTACTCACACAGAATCAAAAGGAGAAAAAAAAGGATCACTGACAGCTAGGCTTCTTTTCAATAGAAGGTAATTTTGCAGAGCAGTGAAATAAGCACGATCATACATCATCTGTCGACTTCTGAAGTCTTTCCTGAATTTGGTTTGGCTAGAGATATATAAGCTGCATAAATTTAAAACTCTCTCACATAATCTTTACAAGACTTTCAAGTTTTCCAAAAACATGTTTAAGTAGGAAGTTGAGTAATGGTAAAAAATGTTACCCAATGATTATTTCTCATTACAAGCAAAATATAGTTGACTGCTGAAATTGTGGATGGGTTTTTGTCGCTATGTGAATATAAAGTTCCTAATGGAAATATACTTCGGGGAGAAATCAACTATGAGCTAGCCATTGTGTTATGTCCCATATATGCAGTGAAACGTACCATCGTGGTGGAGATAATGAAGCTGAAGGAACTCAGAGCAGCCAAACCAATGCAGTCATGCACCCATGGATGCTCCGCCAGATGAATTGAATTGATAGAAGATTACGGCGGGTGGTTTTGGCCACAAACTACTAATGATAGGCTTATAAATTGTTGAAGAACAATGTTTAAAAGCTGTGCCTACCATCCATTCCCCGCGAAAAGGTAATACTAATGATGTAAACGTGTGCTGTAAAACGCTGTGGCTGTTACCCAGAAAAAAAGTTCCACTTTAATTCACATGTTACGGTATGCATGAATGAGGATTGAAATACTATAAAGTAACCCTACCATGTAAATATCTGTGTATACTAGATTCAAAAATAGGAAGCTCATCTTTGTGAGGAAGCAAGACCTATACATGTTGGTTCAGTTTCTTTTCGTGTCAACTTGTTTCATTTGGTGATTTGAATTGGCCTGATTGGTGAAGTAAGGCTTGATCAATGTCACAGATGCATATTCTAGAGAATAAAATTATTAGCTAGGAAGCATTTACTAATTTTAGTATATAGTTTGTCCTACTTTTCTGTTTCATGGAACTGTGCATATTAGGAAAATTACCAACTTGGTCTTCTTTAATTTGGTCTCACAACTTGTCGTAAAAAAACAATTTAGGCCGCTGATTATGGAAAAATGACGAATGCAAGACAGGTGGAAAACTCCAGTGAGATAATGGGAGAGGTCAAGCAAATATCACATGCGCGATAGACTATCGACAGATTTGCTATATGGGTCCTTTGTGTTTGGACTCAAAATAAATGCGGTCTGGAGATGCAATACTTTAGCGGTTTTTCATTATTGGTCCACTGTATTTGAACTCATAAGGCTAGTTAGTCCTATATTTTCAAAATAGTGGATCAATTTAGAACAATAAACAGCATTTGACTATAAACTAAAATTCAGAACTGTGATCTTGAATAGGTCGACTTCGATGAGTAATAATGATATGATAGAGCAAGTTGTCCAAGTTTCAAGTTTTGACTCGGTGTGGGTTCCCAACGTCCAATCACACGAGCTTGTGCTAAAAAGGTTAAAGATTCACTTCAAGCATTAGTTCATTAACATTTATATTCTATTGGGGAATGCAAGATTTCTCACTTGAGTTCAATTGAGGTGGCATCGCCTCATTGATCAATTGCTGGTAACCCTCTAATTGATTCCAAATTGACGAGGTGCTGCCTTATGATTGGTCAATTAGTGATAGTTCTCCCAATTGCATATGAAAATAGTGATGTGGTAAGTTTTGATTGGATGGATGATGCTAAAATTTGGCCTTTTATTTTCAACATAAATCTTGTTAACAACAAATTGGGCTCCCTTTTTTTTATTGTCCAACAAATCATTTTTAGCTACCAATTTTTAGCAATTAATCATTATTAATAGCTAATTGACAATATCATTTTTTTGTCTCCTAACAAACCACATTTAATTATCGATTTTTTGCTATTAATTATTTTTTCCAACAAATCACATTAACAAAATTTTGGGCTCCTTTTTTTGTTGTCCAACAAATCACGTTTAATTACCAATTTTTTGCAATTAATTGTTAATAACTAATTAATAATGTCATGTTTTTGATCACCCAACAAATCACATTTAATTAAAATTTTTTTGCGATTATTAACAAAAAAATTGACTTCTTTTTTGTGGTTGCCCAAAAAGTCACATTTAATTATCAATTTTTTTCAATTGTTATAAAAAAGTCCTCTTTTATCGAATTGTTCATAATTAATTGTTAATTAATTAATTAATATTTTCACTTTTTATTGCCTAACAAATCACATTTAATCACCGAATTTTTGCAATTATTAACACTTTTTTTGTTACCAAATGAACCACATCTAATTACCAAACTTTTGCAATCAACTGTTAATATTTTGGATTTTTTTTGGCATGTGGTTGCCCGCAAGTAATTTTAATTACTATTTCTTCAATCCATAGAATCTAAAGGTGCATGCAATTGTGAGCGTTTTTGCTAACATGGCAACCAGTGATAGGCTGGGGTGAGAAAATCACGAGTATAGGTTGGAGAACATTTGGCTTGTTTATGGTTGTTTTGCCCAAGACCTTTTTTTCCCCTTCTTTTTCGCTTTCTGAATAAACATGTGGTGGGTAGACTTCCTTTCTTTGTATTAGCATTTTTTGGTGGGATTTGACAGGGGGTTGGGCTCAATGCATCAGAAGTCTCTTCTTCCCCTCTTTGTTCGTCGATCGTCTCTCTCTAAAACTCTTATAGAGGCTCTTTCTCTCTTTTTCTTCATCTTCCAACTGAGAACAACAATGAGCTAGATGGTTTTCTTCATCTTCCAGCCTCTCTCTTCTTCTTAGAGAGGCTCTTTGTTTTCAAGTTTTTCCTTCCCTATCAAAACTTATTTAGCCCTTTATTTTTTTAAAATTTTTTCTTTGTCTAACATTCATAAATTTCTGATCTTACAGGTGAAATATTACAAATTTCCTCCACCATCTTAATCAGATTTTGAAAGTTTTTGTTGATCCCTTATTAAAAACAAGTTTTATATGGTTAAATGTGCTTTCCTGCATCCTTCCTTTTCTATTAATGACCTCTTCTTGTTTTTCTTGCCATATGCATAACCTGAATTGAGACCTTTTCGGTTGTCCTAAGTTCCCATTGCCCGTGGTTAGCTGTCGAAGTCCGATCTCAATTTTTCCCATGGCTATGAAGCATCAAAGCACATGTAAGAAATTTGAGGAATTTTTTCCCTAATGCCTTCTAATGTTGTAGGTCGAAATAATAGAAATATGTCTGCAGTTTGTCTTGCCTATGCCTTATTCACGTATCTTGCTGTCTACGTACTTCATTGCTATCCTATAAATGGTTATATGTAGGTAAATTGCAACTCTTGTGAGAACCCTCACTTAAAAATATAAATTCTCCAAAAAAATCGCTTGCATTGCCCTAAGACTAAATCACTGGAAAATTTGGGTAGGAGAACTTCACCACCTTAGTCTTGCAGTTTAACTGAGCATTATAACGGGTTAACCAATCCATGCCTATAATCACGTCATACCCCTTGAGGTCCAAACTTATCAAGTCTACCACCAACTTTCGTTCTCCTACCCAAATCTCACGATTGCCTATGCCTCTAGAAAATTAAAACCCCTAAGAAATGTAATTGCCTATGCCTCTAGAAAATTAAAACCCCATGAACAGAATTACCCAACTCATGATTTGGAATTGGCCGCTGTAGTTTTTGTCCTAAAGAAATGGAGGCATTACTTATATGGGTGACATTTGAGGTTTATACTAGCCATAAGAGTATGAAATATCTATTCTCTCAGAAGGAACTAAACTTGAGACAGCGTCGGTGGGTGGAATTTCTTGAGGATTATGACTGTACAATCAACTACTACCTGGGGAAGACCAATGTTGTAGCGAATGCCTTAAATCGGAAAGTTCAAGTAGCTGGATTAATGGTCAAGGAATGAAATTTGTTGGAAAAAGCGAGTGAATGGAATTCACGGTTGGACCGACAGAGAGTGATCTTGGGGAATATCACGGTAAAATCTGATCTGTTGGATTGAATTAAGGAAGCTCAGAAGAATGACCGAATGGTACAAAAATGGGTAGAAAAGGTGAAAAAAGGGGAAATCTCAGACTTTAATGTGAGTTTGGAGAGTATTTTGAAATTTTGGAATCGGATAGTGGTGCCGCAAAATGAAGTGATAAAAAGAGAGATTTTGGAGGAGGCACATAGATCTAAGTATACAGTACATCCCGAAAGCAGTAAAATGTACCAGGGTTTGAGGAAACTATATTGGTGGGATAAAATGAAGAAGGAAATTGCTCAGTTTGTCCAAAAGTGTTTAATATGCCAACAAGTGAAAGCTGAACATCAGAAACCCTCAGGTCTTCTGAAGCCTCTTGAAATTCCTGAGTGGAAATGGGAACATATTACGATGAATTTTGTGTTAGGATTACCCCGTACTCAGAAAGGTCACGACGCTGTTTGGATAATAGTTGATAGGTTGACCAAGTCTGCTCACTTTGTGCTGGTAAATATGAAATATTTCTTGGAAAAATTGGCCTAACTGTACATGGACGAGATAGTGAGATTGCATGGGATCCTAGTAAGCATTGTTTCTGACAGAGATCCGCGGTTTGTGTATCGTTTCTGGCAACAGTTACAAGAAACTTTGGGGACTAAGTTGAATTTTAGTACCACTTATCATCCTCAAACTGATGGATAGTCAGAAAAAACCATTCAAACACTGGAGGACATGCTAAGGACTTGTATTTTGGATTTTGGTGGAAATTGGGGATAGTATATGGCATTAGTTGAATTTGCATACAATAATAGTTATCATTTCTCCATACAAATGGCACCGTACGAAACTCTCTATGGAAGAAAGTGCCGATCACCAATATACTGGGATGAAGTAGGGGAAAGAAGGGTTTTAGACCCAATTGGAGTGCCATGGATCGAAGATGCTTATGAGAAGGTGAAGGTGATACGCCAGAGGTTTCAAATAGCACAAAGCCAACAGAAGAGTTACACGGATAATCGACGAAAGGATTTGGAGTTTGAAGTTGGGGATATGGTATTTTTGAAGGTTACATCACTTCGAGTTTCACGACGGGAAAAGAAAAGAAACTTCAATCGAGATATGTAGGGCCTTTCAAGATTCTTCAACGAATAGGGAATGTGGCATATCGGTTGGAGTTACCAGCAAATCTATCCAGGATCCATGACATATTTTACGTTTCTATATTGAAGAAATATCATCCAGACCCCACTCATGTACTGAAGCCGATACAGATCTTAGATCGAAAAGTAAAGGAATTAAGGACTAAATAGATTGTGACGGCCCCACCTCCCCCTGGGCGTACCCTAGGGTTTAGCGGACCGCCTGCCCAACTCTCGCCAGGACTCACTCACTCATAGCTCAAGAAAAAAAAAAAACACACATCCTTAGAAAATAAATAACACACCCATTTCAAGTTAATATATATATATACTTTGATGCTCAAATCCAGATACAAAGCTTCTACACACCAAAATACATCAAAGTGTTTACAATACGAGTACAATCAACCCTAGTCGGGTACTAGTGTGAGTACAATTTCAAAAGTCAATATAACTAGACTACGCTAGCCTGTATGTCTCACGCCTCGCTCATACCCCCTGTAAGGAAAACAAATGACGTGGAATGAGCTAAAAGCCCAGTGACGTTCCAAATAACAAGTTAACCCTTATTTAAAAGTGCAAGTCTCATGTAACAAAGTAATGAGCATGAAAAGTTCATAAAAGTGAGCAATAATACTTCAAATAGCAAATTTCAAAGTGAGCGAGTGTAAAAGTTTTCAAAAGAAACAATAATCCAATAAACAATAATCATTCCAAAGTATAAGGATACGGATGGCTCTCAG